AAAATGAGGCACTTAAAAGTTGCTTTTTTTATGTTGTGAACATAAGAGCCGGATTTTTAAAGTGACGAAGACCAAAACTGGAGCAAAGAGAGCCAAAATGCAGCATTTGTGTTCAGCTAACGCTGCACTTCTTTAGGTTTCCTGTGTGATGCATACAGACTTTATTACTAATCATCCATCACTGAGGAAATTCACCTGTTACAGCAGCACAAGGCTCAGGAAGAAAAGGTGAATTGGAGACTAATAAACATAAATACTATACAGGAGTAATTGGTACCATGTACAAATGGTAAACAGTGAAACGGACTAAAATACACTAGAGGACTGGAAGACGGCAACATTTTGCAACATTCTATCCAAACACATTTTTTTTTCTCTTAGTTCTATATGATGTCATACAGAGGGGATTTCCCTAATATGGCCATCTCAGGCTCCACCCAAAAGAAAGCCTTTCTCAAAGGGGAGGGGCTTAAACAGCTGTTATATAACTGTTATTAAAGCTGCTCTCTGTGAGACGAAGAGTTAAAAATAAGCTGCCACACTTACTGCCAAACTGACCTGGACTGAAATCTTAAGGATTATCTTCATCGTCAAACACTGGCACAAACTGTAAGTTTTCTGTAAACTGAGCGACGTCGTGCTGACGGCACAGGTGGTCGTAGCACGTCAGCGCAGCCGCACGATAGCAGCTCAGAGGAGACGCGTCACTCTGAGCGTAATCCGTAATCATCGTCTCTCGTCACACAAACACATCGGTGTAGAAACAGCACTAACTCGCACTAACACTCAGGTAGTTGATCGGGTAGTTTGCACTTTAAGAAACTTGAGGTAGAAGTTTGAAAAAAGAAAAACTTGATGTGGGTTTTTGGAAAGTTAAACGTCTGGAAACCTTTGCCTCACGCTGGAACGATTTCTGATTGTCGGAACAGGAAGTGATCTCAAACGCATTTCTGATGACTGTGAACTTGTTATTGATCGTATGATTGTTTGACTGGAAGCGACTGAAAAAAAACCGAGTCGTCAGCCAATAGGAAGACGGAAGTCCAGCTTTGCTTTGTAAGCTCCTGCGCTTCTCTCTGATTGGCTGATCAGTTTTTGCAGTTTTAATTTCAGACTTCCTGCCCTCACGTTTCCACCTGTAACTGGATGTTTGTGAAGCATTCAGTTCTATTAGAACTGGACCTTCTGCACTTAAAACTGTTGGATGGCGTTAGTGTGGTGCCCCAGCAAAGCTCAGCATATCGCCTTTTTTTCCTCAGCTGGTTATTTAAACTGTTTCTCTCCTCGTTTCAGTCTGTTTGAAGCTCTGAAACGAGGAGAAAGACACATTCAGTGAACTTATCAATGCATTGAGCAGCTAAAGAGCCTCAGGAGTTGGTAAATATTAGAAAAACGTCACTCCCAAAGACTCCTGACACGTTCTATATAAACTGATGTTTAATGTAGTGTTTACATAAACAAGCAAAAAGAAATCTGACACAGGAAATGTTTTACTTTTCAGGATATGGAGGATTGAAGGTGCCAAAATAAACAAAATATGTGACTGAGTGAATAATAAAATGACATTAAATGTTCGAAAAAATAAATACATGTAGGTATTTATTAATTTGTAAAATGTGACATGAGTTAATATTTTTAAATTAATTTTATGCAGAAATACAGGGAAGGTCAGTAAACAGATATTTGTCTTACATTTTATAATTGAATGCCTTGAATGTTGAAGAATTTTGTTGTTTTTTACATTTGTAATTTATTTATTAATTTGCTTGCTGTTCCATTATTATTTTGGCGGTTTTGATCCTCCATACAGGCATGTGTCAGGAAGTCTCCAAAATAACGATTTAAAAAGTGGAAAATTCTTCACGTGGAAAACATTTAACATGAATTCTAGATTATTATTACAAAATGTGGGATTATAAACTACCTGCTGAACATGGAGCAGATGATTTATTCAGGTGGTGGAGACCAAAAATGGAGCTAAA